ATGCATGCATGTATGTATGTATGTATGCATGCATGTATGTATGTATGTATGCATGCATGTATGTATGTATGTATGCATGCATGTATGTATGTATGTATGCATGCATGTATGTATGTATGTATGCATGCATGTATGTATGTATGTATGCATGCATGTATGTATGTATGTATGCATGCATGTATGTATGTATGTATGCATGCATGTATGTATGTATGTATGCATGCATGTATGTATGTATGTATGCATGCATGTATGTATGTATGTATGCATGCATGTATGTATGTATGTATGCATGCATGTATGTATGTATGTATGCATGCATGTATGTATGTATGTATGCATGCATGTATGTATGTATGTATGCATGCATGTATGTATGTATGTATGCATGCATGTATGTATGTATGTATGCATGCATGTATGTATGTATGTATGCATGCATGTATGTATGTATGTATGCATGCATGTATGTATGTATGTATGCATGCATGTATGTATGTATGTATGCATGCATGTATGTATGTATGTATGCATGCATGTATGTATGTATGTATGTATGCATGTATTATTGATTTTCTGAGTATCATTATCATGCAATACATTTAAATGTAAGCAAATGTAAGCGCAAACGCAGACGCTCCATTATCCTCTGCACAAATTAATTCAAAAATAAATTTGATATTGTTCTTAATTTCACTTCAAATTTCCAAACACTTTTTAATCTTCGGCTGTAAACGCTTGAAATCCAATCAATCTCTCTATTTCTTTGACACATCTCTTTTTCTTCTTCTCTTACAGACCATGAATGTAGTATAAACACGTACAGAAACGAATGACCTCGATTTTCTTGCTGTTCAAGTAACGAGAGATTTAAGCTCATCCTTTTGCGATCTCGCATCCGTTCTCGATTATTATTGTTAGCAATTAGAAATTTTCTCTTATAATACTGAAAAATGCTGATTCGACGAACGGAATATAAAATTATCGTATTCATTTATTATTGTTGTTTTATTGCAATATCTCTTATGATATGCAAAAATTTAACTAGTAAATCTTATCAGTAATATACATAAAACATAACAACAATTGTCTTCTTTCTTTTTTTTTAATTATTATAAATATATAAAAGAAAATTTGCATTTCGAAATTAAAAATATCTATTATTTTACTTTCTTTTAAATGCAGGCAGACTAAAATCTTGACAGATTAGCGTTTAATCTAAGCGAAAAATCGAACAGACGTTTGAGATATTTCAAGATGTTATCATATATATATATATAATTTTTTTTTTTTATTTTTCTTTTTGTTTTAATTTAATTTAATTTAATTTAATTTAATTTAATTTAATTTAATTCAATTTAATTAAATTAGAGTCTTTTCAAGTTCCGTAAAATACTCTATTTAATTGACCATGATTCTTCTATTAAAGATTACACGCAAATTTCACTGTACATGTGTAAAATTCGTCATGGAAGAGCTTTCACTCATTTGTATTTTCTTTATGAAATCAATGATATGAGTGTAGAGAAGTGTCCTCGCGTCTCTGCCCCAGAGGTAGTCAATATGATTAAATTTTGAATATTCAATTTTATGCTTCAGAACAACGTTGGGAAACTTCTCAATGAGCCTTTGGACATCAGCTGGATCCGTGAGGAAGTCATTTTCACTGTAAAACACTGCAACAGGAACTTTAACCCGCTCCAAACAGTACTTTGGAGGCTGCGTACTTCCGTAAAGCTTTAAATTTTTTGAAGTGCCGTAATCAAATTTTCGGAATGAATCTATATTATTAAACAAAAACAAAAAAAAAACAAAAAAAAAAAGGAAAAAAAGGGGAAAAAAAATTTAATCTTTACCATGGACTATTGAATTTTCATTCATTAATATGGATCTTCAAGCTTCAAAATATTAAAGTACACTTTAATTATTTAGGAATGTAATAATAATAATAATAATAGGTTAACAAAGAAAAAATAAAATAAAATAAGAATAAAATTACATTTACAATATAAAATAATTTTATCCTATTTATTTTCATTTAATCCATTTATACATATTGTGAAGCCTATAACTATGTAACATTAACGATCAATTAAAAACTTACCAGAAAGAATAATTTGACTGAAGTGTATGATTTGTTTGGCAGACGAACCACCAGGAAAATGACCAAATATAAGGGGCAACATAGACTTATCCAACTGATTACTACCAAAGCCAGCGATTAAATAAAACCAACAACTGTAAAAGCTTTTGGTTAGCGCACCAGGAGTATTTCGAATTAATGTTCCCAAAGCTTTAGCTTGTAACCTATTTCTTGGAAACCATTGATGTATATTACAGTAAACTGATCCCCACTGAAAAAAAAAATAAGATAAAAAGAAAGAAAAAAAATCATTAAGTTTAGTAAATAATAAAGAACGGAACCTGAGAAAGATAAAGAATAAAGTAAGCTTACTTCCATGAGAATGTAGAATCTGACGATAAATTTAATCAATGGACTGCGTTGATTAGTAAGGAATGCAACCGGAGCCATGCTCACCATTCCTTTAATTTTATCATTATACTCTGGTCTCTCACTGCACATTACATAAAAAGTAGTCGTCCCTTGACTATAACCAATATAATGTAAACTCGTTTGATGAGTTTTATCTAGTATGTAGTCTATCATTGCTGGTAAATCATAATACCCTATTTCATGCCAGCTAAAACACAAATTTTCACTATTAAATTATAACCAAGTTACACAATTAATTTAATTCGCTTAATTAATCATCAAACCTGAAATCCCAAAACTCCCTATCTCTCGTTGTATATTGTTTATGACACTGGGAATACGTATTTCCCCTAACATTTGCTAACCACACGTCAAATCCGCAGTCGCATAGTACGTAAGCTGAAAAAGCAGTTTGCAAGATATTAGTCTATTCACACAAATAACAATATATAGAATCATATTAGCTTAATATAAATTTAACCGATATTATAATTATATTGTAATTGTAATATTATTCGTTTGACTACAATACGGCTGAAGTGGATGTAAAATTAAAAATTCGAGGATAAAAATATTCTTAAGGTATTCTTAAATTATTTATTATTAAAAAAAAAATTTTAATTAATATTTGTGAATTTGATTGATCTTTTTATCATATTACTATGTAAGAGAAAAATAATATTGTTTTCAATTCCTATTTGATAACAGCGAGAATGTCAAATTTGTTGCCCTTCAGGATGAATAAATGAAAGAGCTGATTCTGAATAATCACCAAGAGCTTTCTGCGGTCCAAGTAGTACCCAGTCTGCTGAGCTCGATAACAACCCATGGTTCACTAATATAGGTGGTTTAATTTTAACATTTGACTCGTCTTTGGCCTGCAAAGCTAATGCTCCCGATAGTATTGACGACTCGTTGGAGTCTGTTTTTGATAATTCAGGTATCTTGTCGTCGCATGGTTCTGTGCAACTTTTTTTTGAATTTCTAGCCTGAGTCTTTCTCAATACTCTATGTAGTTCCAGTCTATATCCATCTTCGGTCCAAACGTGATGAGTCTCAGCAATATATCCGTGTTTTGTTATCAATTCAGGCTGTAAACAAATTTCCAAATATCATTTAATGCGATTAATTAAATCAATCATTGTTATTGATAAATAAATCATTTTAGAAACATCAATTTATAATTAGATATATTATTTGTAAATTATTTTTCAGCAAAGTGATTGATAAATCGTGTTAACGGGGATATTGTAAAGTGTCAGTTTTTAAAATATAAAGTAAACAAAGCTTGATAAATTTTGTAATAAGATTAGGTCTTGTGTACTTTAATCTTGGCTTTAATGTAAATTTCAAATGAATTTTAATTCAGATGAATGTCAGAGTAATATTAAGATTAAACTTATATTTCATTTAATATGTTGGCATTTTGAATGAAATTTTTTTAAAAATCAATTGTTCGATGAATCGATATAACATTTCAATAATCGATGGTTCGCAATCACTTTACATTATCTATCCACTAATATTAAATATCGAAGATTATAAAAGGTAATAGATAATTAAGTGACAAATTACTAAAATGGGTAGGTTAGTGGGAGAAGGAGAAGGAGGAGGAGGGTGGAGGAGGTAGGGGGATGAGGAGGAGAAAATTTTTTTTTTTTCAAACAAAATATCATATTTAATTTCGAGTTGAGTATTGTTTTGAATGTAATAATGTAAGGAGGTAATGATACGAGGATGATGAAATGTTTATTTATTTATTTATTTATTTGCTTTTTCTCATCGTGAAGTAATATATATAATTAATGTGCTTCCGAGGCTCATTATGCTCAAAGCTATTAGTATAATGATAATGATAAATCAATTTGATCGTACATATTTTTATTGGAAATCGTCGCCTCTGGCTGAAAACGTACTCTAAGACTATCTTAAGCTTACAATAGAAAAATCGAAAACAGCGAAATATCTAAAACGTATAAGAAGTGTACGCGTGGAGAGCTTTAAAGTACCTTTTCATATAAACTATTTATACTGGAAAGTACTATTCATAAACATCCTAATAATAGCGCTAACGCGGTTGATTGTTAAATGGCGAGGGATTAGTTGTTAATACAAGTAAATGTCGCGCAACAAGTCTTAAATCGATCGTTTCGTCAAAGTTGAGCTAATGTATATATATATATATATATATATATATATAATGATGCAAAGTCTTAGCTCTGTGATTAAGCGCCAAAGTAAAAATAGACATGACGTCATGAGCTTAATAGAAAAGCGTTAAGCAGGGCAGATCCTCCGACGTATTGTCAAGAGGATGCGATTGACTTTAGCTCGAAAAATCATGAGAAATCATACGAAAACGATAAAACAACCCATGACGTTTATTCATGGATTTATTCGTGCACTAGGTGTTTCTTGCACATGACAACGATTCATTCGCTAAAAGCTGATCAATAAAACTTGGAAATGGAGGAGGAACGCGCGAGCTGCGTGGCTCTATTGCAAGATCCAATGTGTACATCCCGTACACGGGATTATTAACCGCGACTGATCAATGTCACACGGCGTGCAATGTCGAATGCAAAGCATCATAACAATGAATAGCCAGTGGTCTGGCCCAGAGTCGGCAAGGGGATCATCATAAGCGAGTGTCCGACGGGTGACGGTGGTGGCCGTGGCCGATGGCGGGGCGGGTTGCGGAGGGAGAGAGAGAGAGAGGGAGCAGGGCTGAAATCGAGTGGGTGTTGGTGCTGGGTCGAGGGATCTCGTGGATCATGGGAGACTCACCGTCGTCATGTGAACCTCATCGTGGTTGTCTTCGCTCATCATACGTCGCACTGGCCGCTCGCTGTCCTGTAGCTTTTGGTCGCAAGCGACGTCGGGACAAATCCTACGCAGGAGCCTCGTCTCTCGGTCAGGACGCGCGTTGATCGCCCCCTGTATTATTTGCAGCTACTGCTACTGCTAATGTTGATGTTGATGTTGATGTTGATGTTGATGTTGATGTTGATGTTGCGATTGCCGTTACCGTTGCGGTTGCCGTTGCAGTTATCGTCGCTGTCGTTACTGTTGCTGTTGCTGCCGCTGCTGCTGCCGCTGCTAACGTCTAATGCTAATGCTATTGTCGATGCCGATGCTGATGCTCGCGCGCGGGAATTCCTTCGTCGTTGTTTGCGCGCGCGCACGCGTTTCTACCTTTGTAACAAAACGGACTTTCCTTTTTGCTAGCCACAGGCCAAGTTTCTCTCGAAAGCGTTGCTGCGAGACAGTGTGCAATCCATGCCAATGGGCAAAAACGCGAGAGAAACGGTATACATATATACATATATATATATATATATATATATATATATAGTTATTTTATTATATTGTATATTACATCTGAATGAGGCAATGAGATAGTGAGAGAGTGAAAGGATTAATAGGGCAGAAAGGGAGAGCAAGAGGAGAATTGCATTGGCGGGTGGGTAAACAGGGAGAGAGCGACGATCAGGACGATGACAGAAGATCAAGGAGCACACAAGTCGTTGGTATCGTTTAAAATTTTGACAGACGCGTGAGCACGAGAACCACACGACTCACTCGAGGCTTTATGACAACACTGAGCGGTCGAACCTCGAGTTAACAGCATCTAAGCCTCACGAGTGCACCAGCTGGTCTCTAAGGTGGGGGCAATCGAGTAGTCTCTGTCTCTGTTCGTCTCTCTGTCTGTCTGTCTCTCTCTCTCTCTCTCTCTCTCTCTCTCTTTGCTTCAACCTACGTCCCTCTCCTACGCCAAGTATCCAGAGCGTTCCGGGCGCTTAGTTTACATATGCAGAGGCACAGCCAAGTGTATAACCTATGCGGTCAACACGCACGCCGCGCAGCACACTTTCAACATTTTTCCATTGGCGCTGTATGTCAGCACATAATGGGTGTGCGTCTCGAACAAAGAAGCCGATTGGGCAGAGTATGACGCGATCCTAGAATACACGTGCTTGTGTAAACGTGTCTTTTTGCCTCTCGACGCTCCACGCGACTCCGTGTACGTGCGCGCTCGCTTCTATTATGACATATGCGTATTGTATACCCTCTGTCTTCCGTTTGCTCGAATGCTCGAATGTGTTTAAGCAATTAAAAAATGGATGGAATGAGAGCGCGGAATTGCGACGGCCGCGCGGGCACGGCAATGCGAGCGATGCCGGGGGAGGGGAGGAAAACTCACACCGACGCCGTGCGAGCACGCGCGCACGGCAATGCGAGGGCGGCCGAAGAGGAGCACGGGAGGGGAGGAGGAGAAGGAGGAGGAGAAGGAGAGAGATACGTTGCGTGAGGCCGCGATTGGTTTTTGTCTTTGTTTCGCTCAGTAGCTGCTCGCATATCGACGTCCTTGCCAATGTTCGTTGGTGTGCTGTGGAACACGGCCGTGGCACGTACACAGGCGTGCAAGCGCGTGCGCGCGACGTTGGGGACGAGAGACGAGCCTCCAGTCTTATTTTATAAGTACGTCTCTGTTCTTTCTCGTCGGCTATTAAAAACATGTTTGGTAGCCGAATTATAGGCACTATTCATAGCTCGTCGTGATCGGGTCGACGAGAGGTAAATGACTAAGGCGACGGGGGCAGCCGCAACGACGGGGGACGCGCAGTACGGGGAACGTCGAAAGAAACAGAATAACTGCCGAGAAAATTATTGACGATGCCACGTGGCGTTACGGTGCTGCCTCTTATTTGCCATAGGCTTGGTTATTAATGGATAGGATATTTTATTATTATTATTATTATTATTTATAAGTGAAAAATATTTCAAGCCGCTCACTTTGTGATACTTTTTTTTTTTCTTCTTTTTTTTCTTTTTTTTGTATTTACTATTCACGCAGCTTCACGCACACGAAGAGCTCTACAATGGATACATCGAGCTGATATTTACTTTGGTTTATTTGAATAAAGAAAAGACAATGTAATGCCGGAATAGATGAATCGTACCACTAAAGATTTAATCTGGTATTTAACCTCCGTCGGACTTAACACTCGAAGCGGATATAACTTATTAGAATATAATTAAGTGATTGTTAGTATGTTGTTTGGTAAAACTCCCTGGTGGTTCGTTCGAATGACGCGTAATATAATGTTTTCCCAGTTGAATTGGAAATATTTAATTTATTATATGATATGTAAATTACTATTACAAGCTGACAAATATTCGGACAATTAAAAAAAAAAAAAAAGTAAAGAAAAAAGCTAAATCGTATATCAATAGTCCGTGTTTATTAGCTATTTGGCGAAAATTATTTTTTCACAAATTAACGTGCGAATGAGCATTTTCTTGAAAGGAAATAAAATATTAATTTAGTTCGTTGAACGGTCGTTGAAATTCCTATAGCCTTAATTGTATCTTAATTTATGTAAAAGCAGGAAAAAAGCTTAACTAACTTTATTTAATTAGCCAATATGGCTGAATATAGCTCCACGTTATAACTGATTTTGACTTTTAAAATAAAATAAATAATTAATCAGATTTTCATAAAAATGTAACTATTTTGTAAATATTAATATTTAAACGACATTCTTTCATTTTGCCGTCGCTTAACGCTTAACACAAAATAGACATTCTGAAAATCTCGAGAAACAATATGAGCTTTATTAAAATATAATATTGACTTATGTAACGACATTTATGAAGATAATATAAGTTTTATCTGACACGTTTTATATATAGGTAAGCTGGATTGTCATTATTTGAAGATATAGATTTGCATAAGCATCATCGTTTCTAAGATTACGAATAACGTAAATATGGTGTCGATAAACGAATTTACTTCACCGTCCGTCCGTCCGTCCGTAAAGTTCCTTCACTACATACATCTTACCAATTTATTATATAAAAGCACATTTCACTTACTTCAACGATAGCTCATTAAGAAATCTCACTTGTATTTGGAAATAATCCCTGTGAATTTTTTCCCTTTCTTTTATTTATAAATTTATTCTAATTTATCGTATATTATAAAAACGATACGAATTTCCGTTGAAGATTATAATCGGCAAATTTAATAAAATTGCCATTTTACAAATAATTTATACGAATTTTGTAATTATTATTAGTATATGAATAAGCAGTTCAAATAGTTGAAATAGTGATTTTACTTAATAAAAGTCAAGCATTTAAAAATATCTTAAATTATCTTTTATAACAAACAGCTTTACATTAATCAATACGCGCTGAAGTCAAATGCTTTTTAATCGGTAATTTAGGAAATAATTGGTTTTAATGTATCTTCCATTGACTTATTATAATTATTGAAATAATAAAATGCTCGTGTGATAGTTGCAATAAATTGGAATGGAGTTTTTAAATAATTTTTTAATAAATAAATAAATAAATAAATTAATAAATACGAATACAGTTAATTTTGTTTTCAAAATTTTTGACAATAAATAAAAATGAAGTAATTAAATGAATACTTTTTATTGGAAAAGTTCTCATTCATCTATAAATATATTTATATATTTTCCACTATCTATTAAGAAACGCACATGGGTATTCAAAGTTTCATATATGCTTAGATTACATCATATTTTGAAAGTTTATGAATCACTTAATTTTCATTGGAAAATCTTATGTTTTAAAATATCTTAAACTCAAACGTATTATATTTAATTATATTCACCATTTATATCATATTATGTTATGGAAAAATAACATTTAAAAAAAAAAATAATAAATAAATAATAATAATAAAAATAATAATAAAAAATAAAAAAAACATCGTCTATTATAATATAAAATCATGTTACTTTATTAAACTATATTGCGTATAAAAAATATTTTAATATCAATATTTCTTTTTTAATTAATATTTAATAATAATAGATTAATTTTGATGATGTAGCATATATAATTAGATGTAAATTATGTAACAATAATACTATTTGTAAGTTGTGGGTTTACGATATATTAATAAGTTAAAGTATTTTTAATCACATTAATGCGTTAATAATGTTAATAATGCTTATTTGTTTAATGTAAATAATATAATATTTTCAATTAAATTATTGATAGGGAACGTAGAGCTATATTCAAAATTGAATTTATGAAAAATTATTTAAAATCTTCAATTAAGATTAGATAAGATACATAAAATAATCACAATTATTACGAAAGTATTCGTTACAATTTGTTATAATAATAGCATACATTACAAAGCAGAAAATCAATCAGTAAAAATGTAATACTTATGTGATGCAATTGTATGCACGCATTATAAAATACAAAGAGAAAAACTCGTATGAATACATTAAAATATAAAATTAAAACAAAGAAATGTTGTTGTGGAGAGTAAGAAACGTTGAAATTATAGATGATAATGTAATATGGACAATAGGGCTGGACTATTGTGAGCCGTATTTTTCCACTAATCACACATTCGAATTTATTGTTACATTTTTCAGACTGTAAATGTTTGTAATGAAATATATCATGCAATGCCCTAATAATCTAATCTTTTTATAAGTACGAATGTGGCTTAATTATCATAATAATTGTGATAAGTCACAAGTACGATGAAACATGAAATACACTATGCAAATGAAATTAAATGTACTTTTGAAAAACGAAAATAAAGAAAAAACCAAATAAAAATTCTTGTTATTTTCTTTACAATTATTGTGGACAATATTCTTTAATAAATATAATGTCACTTAATTTTCACAGCAATATTCATATTAGAAAATCATCATAAGCAAATACATATCGTTAATTATCTCTTCTTATCGGAGAACAAGTTCATTGTGCCATTTGCTCACAAAGAATTCAAAGTTAAATTCTAACCAAAAACTGAAACTTCTAATTTGTATTAAAAAAAATCAAACGTTAATATAGCATTAGTTGGAAAATAATTAAAATAAGTTTTGACAAGACATAACGTTTTTTTTTTGTTTTTTTTTTTCTTTTTTTCCTTCTTTTTTTTTTCATTT